AACAACTAGGAAGAAAAGGACTTTCCTCAACTGTTGGAGGCAAAATATGAGCATTTTTCAGTTGATTCAGGACCAGAATCAAATTTTTTTTTTTTGGAAAACAGAAAAAAACCAAGAGGCGAATCCGAGAACCAACAAATTAAATTGGTGTGGCCTAAACGTAAGAACCCTAATACTATGAGATGTTCATTAAAGTATTAAATGCATAGATAGTTATTTATTTCCATCTGATGTGCTGATAAACGAAATTGTACATATCACAGATCACCGTTAAGCTGTAAAAACCATGTGTGTGTCCAGGGAGGGACATGACAGCTAAGATTACCACACGGTCAGGAAATCGAAAAGGGCCGCCATTACAATACACCAGCCGATCAGAGATTGTTTCCGACATGCAAGGAGGGTATTGAAGATGAATTCCACTTTATGATGTCATGTCCAACATATGAAGAAAACAGACAAAAGTTAATGCAATCCATAGCTTCCAAAACTAATGTTACGCTACCTCACTCAAAATCAGATATCTTTAATATGCTCCTTTCATGATCATGTCCTACTCAGATATCAGTGTACGTTGGAAAATTCATATAAGTTTGAATCACTACAAAAGCGACTGTCACACCATATTGTAAATAGCTGAATATATATCCCCTGAATTACAGAATGTAATTATAATACTCTTCCTAAGAAAACACCATAGATTAGCTTTAGTATCATTATGGACTAGCTCGTTAGAATTATATTCTAGTATTAGTTTGTGTATGTACCATTGTTGTTTCTTTGCTATACATTGTACCAGCTACAGTTGTTGAGCAATTAAGGCCACACCAATTTAATTTTTTGGTTCTCGGATTTTGTCAGAAAAAACATGAAGCGATAGGGCAAAATAAAATAAAAATAAAAACAGGTTTAGGCATCCTATTATAGCCCCAAATGCTATGATATGAGCCATGAAGTCAACACAAAAGGTTGTGTTAATATTTAAACAATGAATTTTGAACTTTTAATCAAACCACTGCATTGATAGATGGAAACACTGCAACAGCTAGGAAGAAAAGGACTTTCCACAACTGTTGGGAGCAAAATATGAGCATTTTTGAGTTGATTCAGAACCAGAATCTTTTTTTTTTTGCAAATCAGAAAAAATGAAGAGGCGAATCCGAGAACCAACAAATTAAATTGGTGTGGCCTAAGTTGATTTGATTTGATTTGATTACCTGTTCCTTGTCGGGGACAAGAGATACACTCGTCGCTCCAGCCTGAGCCGATGGAGCAGCAGCAGATGGAGG